CACAAAGCGAAGCGCTTCTCGTGCATGCGCAGTGGGCACCCGGCTGTTACAGCCGAGTGCCCACACTAAAGGGAGGACAACTCTGCGGAAGTGGGAGTGGGTACCTGTCAAATTTAGGTACCCTCGCTCCCCCTCCCTCCCCAAAGGTCAGCAGTCTCTTAGTCATCCCCTATACTGTCTGCAGTCCCTGGTCATCCCCTGTACTGTCTGCAGTCACTTGGTCATCCCTTATACTGTCCGCAGTCTCTGGTCATCTCCTGTACTGTCCGCAGTCTCTGGTCATTCCCTGTACTGTGTCCGCAGTCTCTGGTCATCTCCTGTACTGTGTCTGCAGTCTCTGGTCATTCCCTCTCCTGTACTGTGTCCGCAGTCTCTGGTCATTCCCTCTACTGTCTGCAGTCTCTGGTCATCCCTCTCCTGTGTCTGCAGTCTCTGGTCATCCCTGTACTGTGTCCGCAGTCTCTGGTCATCCCCTGTACTGTGTCCGCAGTCTCTGGTCATCCCCTGTACTGTGTCCGCAGTCTCTGGTCATCCCTGTACTGTGTCCGCAGTCTCTGGTCATCCCTGTACTGTGTCCGCAGTCTCTGGTCATCCCCTGTACTGTGTCCGCAGTCTCTGGTCATCCCCTGTACTGTGTCCGCAGTCTCTGGTCATCCCTGTACTGTCTGCAGCCTCTGGTCATCTCCTGTACCGTGTCTGCAGTCTCTGGTCATCTCCTGTACCGTGTCCTGCAGCCTCTGGTCATCTCCTGTACCGTGTCTGCAGCCTCTGGTCATCTCCTGTACCGTGTCTGCAGCCTCTGGTCATCTCCTGTACCGTGTCTGCAGCCTCTGGTCATCTCCTGTACCGTGTCTGCAGCCTCTGGTCATCTCCTGTACCGTGTCCTGCAGTCTCTGGTCATCTCTTGTACCGTGTCCGCAGTCTCTGGTCATCCCTGTGCTGTCCGCAGCCTCTGGTCATCCCTGTGCTGTCCGCAGCCTCTGGTCATCTCCTGTACCGTGTCTGCAGTCTCTGGTCATCTCTTGTACCGTGTCCGCAGTCTCTGGTCATCCCTGTGCTGTCCGCAGCCTCTGGTCATCCCTGTGCTGTCCGCAGTCTCTGGTCATCTCCTGTACCGTGTCCGCAGTCTCTGGTCATCCCCTGTACCGTGTCCGCAGTCTCTGGTCATCCCCTGTACCGTGTCCGCAGTCTCTATTCATCTCCTGTACCGTGTCCGCAGTCTCTGGTCATCTCCTGTACCGTGTCCGCAGTCTCTGGTCATCTCCTGTACTGTGTCCGCAGTCTCTGGTCATCTCCTGTACTGTGTCCGCAGTCTCTGGTCATCTCCTGTACTGTGTCCGCAGTCTCTGGTCATCTCCTGTACTGTGTCCGCAGTCTCTGGTCATCTCCTGTACTGTGTCCGCAGTCTCTGGTCATCTCCTGTACTGTGTCCGTAGTCTCTGGTCATCTCCTGTACTGCGTCCGCAGTCTCTGGTCATCTCCTGTACTGCGTCCGCAGTCTCTGGTCATCTCCTGTACTATGTCTGCAGTCTCTGGTCATCTCCTGTACTGTGTCTTGTCTCCGGTCATCTCCTGTACTGTGTCCGCAGTCTCCGGTCATCTCCTGTACTGTGTCTGCAGTCTCCGGTCATAATTCTCTTCTCCTGTACTATGTCTGCAGTCTCCGGTCATCTCCTGTACTATGTCTGCAGTCTCCGGTCATCTCCTGTACTATGTCTGCAGTCTCTGGTCATCTCCTGTACTGTGTCCGCAGTTTCTGGTCATCTCCTGTACTGTGTCCGCAGTCTCTGGTCATCTCCTGTACTGTGTCTGCAGTCTCCGGTCATCTCCTGTACTATGTCTGCAGTCCATTGGTTCAGAATATTTTTTTTCTTGTTTTCACCTCTAAAACCTAGGTGCGTCTTATGGAGCGAAAATACGGTATATGGTTTTATATGTCTTATCAAATACTGGTCATTTGTCTCCTATGGATGAACCTCCATTGCAAAAACAAAAAAAACAGGGCACACTCTCCTCGTGCAATAACCTATTGCGATGAGGAAGGGCGTTCAACTCCCGAAACGCGCTAGGACTTTACCCGAGGACGCATGCTGTCTATGATTGGCACCTTTGACTTCTTGTCTCTGTTTTTATGACCTTTATGGCTTGTATGTTTTTGCATCTTTTTAATACATTTTTGTTTATTGCGTTATTGCATGAGGAGAGTGCGCCCTGTATTATTATTATACAGGATTTATATATATATATATATATATTATTATTATACAGGATTTTATATATATATATATATATATTATTATTATACAGGATTTATATATATATATTATTATACAGGATTTATATATATATTATTATTATTATACAGGATTTATATATATATTATTATTATTATACAGGATTTATATACATATTATTATTATTATACAGGATTATATATATTATTATTATTATACAGGATTTATATATATATTATTATTATTATACAGGATTTATATATATATATTATTATTATACAGGATTTATATATATATTATTATTATACAGGATTTTATATATATTATACAGGATTTATATATTATTATTATTATACAGGATTTATATATATATTATTATTATACAGGATTTATAATATATTATTATTATACAGGATTTATATATATATTATTATTATACAGGATTTATATATATTATTATTATACAGGATTTATATAGATTATTATTATTATTATTATACAGGATTTATATATATTATTATTATTATTATACAGGATTTATATAGCACCAACAGTTTGCTCAGCGCTTTACAATATACAGTTTGGGTTTTTTTTCAGTTTTTTTTCTACAGTTAGTAAACCCCCCAGCATGTTATCCTATGTGTCCCTGCACACAGACTGGAATCAACGTTTTTTGGCAGGGACGTTTCTTGACTGGGGGAAAAAAAAAAAAAAAAACAGGACTAGTGGGTTTGTAGAGGAGTTTAGCTGTAGAAACACTAATGCTGAAAAACACGGTAAAATGCAGCAAACCAGAGTTTTTGGATGTTTGACCAAAAGAAACAATTTTTTTCGGTCAAAAAACCCCACTAAAAACATTGGAAAATGCTGCTAAATGCGGCAAAATGCTAATGCAAAAATTCTAAAAAACAAAGCTGAAAAACTCACGTTTTTGGTAAAAAAAAATGCTAAAAAAAGCAAACGTGGAAAAACACCGCTAAACGCAGCAAAACGCTAATGCAAAAACACTAAAAAACAGACAGAAAACCAATAGAAACACTAATGCTGAAAAACGCGGTAAAACACAGCAAACCGGAGTTTTTGGATGTTTTTTTTGTCCAAAAAAAGAAAAAAAATTTTCAGTCAAAAAACCCCACTAAAAACTCGGGAAAATGCTGCTAAATGTGGCAAAATGCTAATGCAAAACGCTTTTAAAAAAAAAGCTGAAAAACTCAAGTTTTTGGTAAAAAAAAAATCTAAAATCTGCAAATATGGAAAAAACACAGCTAAACGCAGCAAAAACACTAAAAAAAGCTGAAAAATAGCGTTTTGAACTATTTTTTGACCCAAAAGAATTTTTTGGTAAAAAAAATGCTAAAAAACACAGGAAAGCGCCGGTAAACGTGGCAAAACGCTAATACAAAAACACTGAAAAACTCATGGTTTTGGTTACAAAAAAAAACGCAAAAAATGAAAAACGTGGAAAAACACTGCTAAATGCAGCAAAACGCTAATGCAAAAACACTAAACAAAAGCTGAAAAATGAGTTTTTGGACTTTTGTCCCCAAAAAAAAAAAAGAAGTGTTGGGGGGTATAAAAAAAAAAAAAAGTTGGGGGGTAAAAAAAAAAAAAAAAAAAAAAAAAAAAAAAAAAAAAAACTAAAACAGGAAAGCGCTGGTAAACGTGGCAAAGTGCTAAAACAAAAATGCTAAAAAAACTCATGTTTTTGGCAAAAAAAAAATGCTAAAAAATGCAACCATGGAAAAACACTGCTAAACGTAGCAAAATGCTAATACAAAAAACTAAAAAAAAAACAAGAACTGAAAAATGGCGTTTTTTGGACTTTGACCAAAAAAAAAAAAAAGAATTTTTTGGGCTAAAAAAAATACGCTAAAAAACACGGGAAAGCGCCAGTAAACGTGGCAAAACACGAATACATCTACCACCCAAAACGCACTCTCTGCTCCTCACAAGACGACCTACTCTCCAGTTCCCTGGTCTCCTCCTCCCATGACCGTCTCCAGGACTTCCCCCATCTTCTGGAACTCACTACCTCAATCCATCAGACTGTCGCCTTTCCTCCTCACCTTTAGGCGCACCCTGAAAAACCCATCTCTTCAGGAAGCCTACCCCAACCTCACCGAACTGCTGATCTCCTCCGCTCTTCCCACCACTCCATCCCCAACAGCTATTCCTCCTGTACCACCATCCCCTCCCTCCTAGATTGTAAGCTCCAAGGAGCAGGGTCCTCGAACCCCTCATGTATTGTTTGTACTGTCTCATGTACTGTCTCCCTTTATAATGTACAGCGCTGAGCAAACTGTTGGTGCTATATAAATACTGTAAAAATGCTAAAACTTTACACAGCTAACGTTACCATCATTACCAAAACCCCCCGTGTGCATGGCGCCTTAATGCATTTATTTTTGTAGCGCATCACAACGCACATCATGCGTTCTTAGGTGCGTTCTGGAGGTGTGTTGGGGGGACCTACATATGTATCGCACCACAAAGGTACACTACTGCCCATACCGCAATGCGGCAATTGTGAACTAGCTCTTCCATGAACGTTCTCCTTGCCTATAAGTTCTCTGTTGAACAGAAGATCCGCAATGATAATTATACACAAGGAAAGGCTTGTTTACCCCGTAACCTTTTAGACCGCACAACTCCACCAGCGTGTCATGCTTTCAAGCGGACTCCAAAGCCACAAACGTCCCTCATCTTCAAGGTCTATAATCTTCCAGGTGCACAACCCAGAAGAATCGCTAGACGCTGCCAACTTACTTCGCTTCCAGTGCCAAAGCAATAACACCAGCAACCATAGGAGCAGAAACCGAAGTCCCGGTGTGATCATCCGTACATCTTTGTCTCAGGTCCGTCGTAACCTACCAATTAGAAATGGTTCCAATTAAAATCTCTACACACTGTATGAGGGAAAAAAAAAAAAAGTCATCACATGTAATACTGATTTTCTGTACCAATTATTGTTTTTAATGATGTTCAGCAGCAAGTAGGAAGACAAGATATCCAACCATTCCCATGGGCTGCCTACAGAAAGCTAAAGAAAAAGAATTACAAGGCAGTTTTTACAGCAGTGTTCCAAAATGTGCTTTTTAAAGCCCAATTCCAAGCAAAAAAAAAAAAAATTAAATTTCAATAGTACATTGTGCATCAAATAACTTACTCCTCGGTCTTAATTCCAAACACCTCATCCTAAGCCTTCCTGCAGTGTAAAGGATCAAAGTCAGTTTCTTCTATGACCCAAGTCAATAACCTGCCTAGGAACAAGACATTTTTCCCTGCTCGTTATCTTCTTGGGCAGTGGTCCTCTCACCACCTTTCCTGCCCTTGGAAGCTATGAAAGAAGACCAAGCCACTGGAAGTGTCACTTCCACCAATAGGAGGTGTCCACATCACACAGTAAGTGATGTGGACACCCAAAGAAGTTTCCAAGGGAAGTAAAAAGGAGATATTAGGATCATCACGATTGTGGCTTCAGGTAAGTAAACAAGCAACTGGATATTTTTTTTTTCATACTAGCAGTTAGTGCAAGGGTGGCGGGAGATAGAGGTGGGAGACGGCGGCGGGAGACAGGGGTGGGAGAAAGAGAGAGGGGTAAGGGTGAGAGGAAGATGGGAAAACCGGGTAAGAAATGGAGGGTGGGGGAAAGGGATGGAGGTGCGGGGGAAAAGGATGGAGGTGTGGGGGTTTAAAGGATGGAGGTGTGGGGGTTTAAAGGATGGAGGTGTGGGGGTTTAAAGGATGGAGGTGTGGGGGTTTAAAGGAGGGAGGTGTGTGGGTTTAAAGGATGGGAGGTGTGTGGGGAAAAGGATGGAGGTGTGTGGGGAAAAGGATGGAGGGGGGTGTGTGGGGAAAAGGATGGAGGGTGGGGGGAAAAGGATGGAGGTGTGGGGGGAAAAGGATGGAGGTGTGTGGGGAAAAGGATGGAGGTGTGTGGGGAAAAGGATGGAGGTGTGTGGGGAAAAGGATGGAGGTGCGGGGGGAAACGGATGGAGGTGTGCGGGGGGAAAGGGATGGAGGTGCGGGGGGAAAGGGATGGAGGTGCGGGGGGGAAAGGGATGGAGGTGCGGGGGGAAAGGGATGGAGGTGCGGGGGGGAAAGGGATGGAGGTGCGGGGGGGAAAGGGATGGAGGTGCGGGGGGAAAGGGATGGAGGTGGGGGGGGAAAGGGATGGAGGTGCGGGGGGGGAAAAGGATGGAGGTGCGGGGGGAAAAGGATGGAGGTGGGGGGGGAAAAGGATGGGGGGGGGAGGGGGGGGGAAAAGGATGGAGGTGGGGGGGGGGAAAAGGATGGGGTGTGGGGAAAGGGGTTGGACGTGTGGGGAAAGGGTTGGACGTGTGGGGAAAGGGTTGGACGTGTGGGGAAAGGGTTGGGACGTGTGGGAGAGGTGGGGAAAATGATGGAAGTCTGGGAGAGGTGTCAGGGGGGGGGGGGAAGTGTGAGGAGGTGTCAGAGAGGGGGGGAGGTGGGGGAGAGGTGTCAGGAGGGGATGGAGGTGTGAGAAGTGGAGGGATGGAGGTGTGAGAAGTGTCAGAGAGGGATGGAGGTGTGAGAGGTGTCAGAGAGGGATGGAGGTGTGAGAAGGTCAGAGAGGGATAGGGGTGTGAGAGGTGTCAGAGAGGGATGGAGGTGTCGGAGAGGGATGGAGGGAAAGGGTGGGAGAGGGATGGAGGGTGGGGAGGGGGTGGAGGGATAGGGGGGGATGGGGGTGTGGGAGGGGGAGGGGGATGGAGATGTGGGGGGGGGATGGAGGTGTGGGAGGGGGAGGGGGATGGAGGTGTGGGAGGGGGAGGGAGGTTGAGAAGGGTGTGGGAAAGGGGAATAGGTGGTGGAGGGGTTGCCTTGAGTTATGCATAGAAATACAGAGGATGCATATTTGTATAAGGTTAGTAGTGTAAAAGCATAATGAAAGACAAAACTGGATTTCACTTTAAATAGACTAAGGGGGGTTATAAGCCTGGTAAAGTTTATTTTGCCATGAGTGTCCCATTGGGTGGATTTCCCTTCATCCTGTCCACCAGAACTAGTGTCCCCCATTGGAAGATCTCTCCTCTCTTTCTGTTCGGGAGACAACCTAAAATGTAGGATTTTTATTACTTTCACTTATGTTGATAATGGCAAACAGGACAAATAGAGAGGGTAAATCTTCCTAACGGGGACACAACGCAATAGAAAGCTGACAGGGGTTCCAATCCCTCTCCACTCTAAAACTACAAAAAAGTTTTGCCTTTAGTTATACTTTAAGTCTGGGGTTACATTAAGAGTTAATCAGGGGCTATTACTTTTTCAAGTGTGATAACTGTACAGTTGTTGTCAACTTCATGCAGCATTTTTTACTGGACAAAACATGGAAAATTTACTGACAGATCATATTTTTTTTACTGACAACCTGAAAAATGCCATTAAAAACTAAGAATCAATATTTAAAACAGTATAAACACAATATGGAAGCACGGGCAACACCCATAACAAGTATTTTGATGGGCTTACGTGTACAAAAGTAAAAAACGCAGCACAACAAATTATCAGCCCCTGAGATTTACAGATACTGATTTTTACAAACTGTCTGTAAATGTAATGACGGTTGGCATCCCTGTAAGTGTATAACCACCTATATAATAAAGAATTTGTGTAGAAAAGCATTTGCCGCTTCTTACAGCTTGATAATTTTTGGAAGCAACCTCACACTGAGGCCAAAGCACATTCATCTGTATTTAAAGGATACCTAAACCCAAGAACAAAAAGTTCACTACTGTAGTTCACCAGCAGTCCATAGATGTGGTGGGTGCATTTGTTTCCTTCAAATACTTCTTGATCCGGTCAGACTATTGTTTCCTTTTACTTCCTACCTATGTAATGGAGATGGAGAGGGGGGAGATGTTTGCAGTCCAAAATCAGGACAAAACCCAGGGTGACAAGGCTCCTTTCTTTAGATTCAGTAATAGCTGGTCACACACTATGCAAATGTATGGGACTGAGATCTGGACTCATTGCCAGCCAGTTCAGTCCTCTCCAGTGCTTTGTCTGAAACCATCTCTGAGGGCTTTTTGACGTGTGCTTTGGGTCATCGTCCCGCTGGAAGACCCATGACCTCTGACGGAGACCCAACGTTCTGACACTGGGCCCTACATTGGCCCCCAGAATTCTTTTGGTAGTCTCAGATTTCATAATGCCATGCACACGGTCAAAGACATCCAGTGCCTGAAGCAGCAAAGCAAACCCAAAACATCAGTGACCCCCCACCATGTGCGACCGTAGGGACTGGATTCTTTTCTTTAAAGGCCTCATTGCTTTTACTGATAACAGTAGAATGATGGGATTTACCAAAAGGGCTGTAATGTTATTTGGTCTGTCCACAGCACATTCTCCCAAAAGGATTTTGGCTTCCCTCAGGTAAGTTTTGGCAAACTCCACTTCGGCTTTTTTTTATGTTTTTGTGTCAGTAGTGGGGTCCTCCTGGGTCTCCTACCATAACATCCCTTTTTATTGCGATGGCAACGTATAGTGTGAGCTGACACAAGTGTACCCTGTGCCTGAAGGTCAGCTTGAATTTGTGTGGAAGTTGATCAAGGTTCTTTATCCCCCATTCCAACAATCCTTTCTTGCAATCTTTGATCAATTTTTATCTTTCATCCACGTCCAGGGAGATTAGCTACAGTGCCATGGGCTGTAAACTTGACAATGTTGCACACAGTGGACACAGGAACATTAGGATCTCTGGAGATGGACTTGTGACCCTGAGATTGTCCATGCTTTTCCACAATTTTTGTTCTCAAATCCTCAGACAATTCTTTGCTGCACTCTCTCTTCTCCATGCGGCACACAGAGACACACAACAGAAGGTGGAGTCAATTTTTCACCATTGTAACTGGTTGTCGGTGTGATTTCTATATTGTCAGCACCTGGTCATTGATACAGGGAAGTTTAATTGCAAATTACAGCAGCATCACATACTTAGAATGCAGTTATTTTGAGAAGATGCCAATCATTTTGTCCAGTTAATTTTTTAAGTTTTTGGCAGGGTCGGACTGACAACTCATAGGGCCCCCGGGCAATGGGGGATCATGAGGCCCCTGTGTCCTTGCCCAAACTCAAAATAGCCTATGAAAAAGGTACCAGGGGCATCTCATGGAGCCCCCTACTGACCCCGGGCCCTCCGGCAGTGCCCGAGTTTCCAAATGGTCAGTCCGCCCCCTGCCGGTGAATAGATAGGATTGTTAAATAAAACTGACAAATATAAATAATAAACTGGTTTTGGGTGGAATGTGTCAGATTTGGCTTTTAATTTCTCCACTTTTTTTTTTTCATACCAATACAAACAAAATAAATAAACATGAGAATCCCTAAACATTTGTAACTGCAACAATTTTCTGGGCGAAGTGTTGCATTATCTAAGAGAAATGCAGGGGTGCCAATAATTTTGGCCATGACTGTAGTGTGAATGGATGAATCTGTTAGATTTCATTTATTCAGCATGCAGTCTGAACAAAAAAAAAAAAAAAAAAATCTAACAGTATATGACTTGCTTACAGTGGTATTAAACCCAAAAGCGATTATAATGCAGCTTACCAATTCTTAAATGTGATGGCTATATATTAACCTCCCTGGCGGTCTGATTATTTCAGATTTTTGGTGCTGAAAGCGGTACCATTATTTTGCATGGAAATATGCCGTTTTTTTTTATTGTAGGCTGTAATTTTTAGGAATAACTCACTGAAATCTGTCTGAACAAGAGTCTAGTAAACATCCCGGGTATGATAAAATTTGAAACACGAAATAATAAATTATAATTTAATAATCATAAAAAATAATAATATAATAATAATACATTTAATTCAATATAATAAAACTAAAAACACTGAAA